TTTCCACCACTCTGTGAACTCTGTCCCAAAATCGTAAGCTTGTGGACCACTTGTGGTCCACATGTGTGGTCCATTTGTGTGGTCCACTTGTGTGATCCACTTGTGTGATCCAACTTGTCATATGAGAGAATTATTAATTGTAATCTGTTATAGAATGGGAAGTTTTCCACCAGTCTGTGAACTCTGTCTAGACATCGTAAGCAAATCCGAACATCCCTCGCTTCGGCGAACCATTGTTCGTCGAACCGGATGAGTAAATTCGGCCTGAAAAGTGTGCGAACTAGCCGGAGATTCGTTGAATCGGGGTACGTTGAATCGAGGTTGTACTGTATATATAATATGGTTAAAAATTAAAGAGGAAATTTTAAACTGCCTACAGTACTATAAATTACACCTGTAGAAAGGCTGTTATAGAATGTCTTAAATTAAATTATCTGTGCATCCTGGAAAAACAGTCTGAAGATGTTCTAGCAATTCATCACTAATGTTCTGAGTAAGATAACATGTTAACCCTGCATAAAGGCAAAAACAATCAATAAGGTATTAGTCTAAAAGTTCATTGAAGAGCCTTTACCAGGTAGGTTGAAGCATGCCTTTCTAAGAGTCCAGTTGTTGAATTGGTGTTAACTCCAGAAAATTATCATAGCTGCAGCCAGACAAACTTGGCACAGTAAATGCTGTAGTTGTGGGATGTTATTTGTTCTACTAATTGATCATGTAAAACATAAACAGCATGGATGGCAGTGACGAAGTTGGCCAGGGTGCTCGACGTAAGGTGCGTGGAATGGCTTCATCTATTACGGACTCCGCCACAATGGTCTCGGCAGAAGTCAGCACCACTAATGACTCTCAGAAGTGCTTATGAGCAGCTGTTAAACATGGATTTATTGTTTGTAAACAGAACTAAAATTGTTTAATTGCAAATGGCTGGTATATATTTTTATTTAATACAAAAAAAATTCTTTAAATTTATAGTTCAGAATCATTGCAGTTACTCTGACAATATATACATGTACTGTACTCATTAATTGTTCATAAAGGAACTTGTATTTCTGTTTCCATCTTCAAGTACAGTATAAATACTGTGTATATTTATAGAATTGTGTGCACCTATAAGCTTTGTGTATAGGTGTGGAATTATACCAGCATGTGTTAATTCATACATGTATGTAGAATTTTGTATGCAAGTCTTTAGAATAAAAAAAGGTAACTAAATAATCAGATTCAAATGAATTTAATATGGACTACCTACTTCTATAATTAATTATAAACATCATAATAGATCACACAAGTGGAAAATCACAACACTTAAGCCACAATATAGATAAATAAGATAGTTAATGTGTTAAACCCTTTTGAAGCATCTATGACAAAATTTTACCCTTACATCTTTAGTGTCATGGACTCCTCAGCAAGGATGAGATTATTTTTAGACAAAGACAGAACTCCACCAAATGAAAACGAGCATGACGTCACACGTGCTGCGCCGCTTGTCTGTGCAGCTCCCTCCTACCAGGGAGGGGGAAGAGGTAGCCCCAGACCCCTTGTGCCAGTTGTCCCCACTTCAGTTCTCGGCTGATGGTTGCCTTCCCTAAGTGTCCTGTAAGTACTGCCCTTGGGGCTTGGGGCCAGCTTCCACAAGTCGCCTTGGGGTCTACCTCTGCATGGTCTTCCGCTGCAGCTTGCTTTCGGTATTGATGTCACTTCTGCGCCATTTTGCAAGCTGTCTCAGGCGTTGTTTCACCTCCGGCCTGCCTCATGCGCTGCCTGAGCCGTCCTGGTCTTTGGACAGCGTGCTCTCTTATCTCTCTTCCCCTCGGTTTGTAGTGTCCCCTTCGGTTCAGGATTGTTTCTTGAAGGCTCTTTTATCCTGTTGGCTTGGCCTCTGGGGGTTGGGTCGGGAAGCTTCATGCTCTATCCCTGCGCAGGGGTTTCTGCTCTTTTGGTTCTGGTGATAGGTTTGTTCGTTTGCAGCCATCTCCTTTTCTGGCGAAGAATGAGATGACTGCTTTCCGGAGTGGTCCTTGGGTTGTTGATGCTTGGTTGGTTAGGCCATGAGGGGGGGCATCATGTGTTGTGTCCGGTTGCAGCTCTCCGCCATTATTTGTGCGCCATGGCTCCTGTGTCCGGGGATGCGTTTTGGGTTGCTCCAGTTTCCCTTCTCCCCTGTTCCAGAGTTTAGGTCTCCCAGGTTGTTGGCAGGGTTATTTGGTTCAGCCAGCCTGCAGACTATCCCCGTGCCCATGACGTTCGTAAGTTTGCTGCGCTGGCTGCCGTCTTCGGAAACATGTCTTGGAATGACATTCGAGCACAGGGTTTTTGGTGGTCGATCAGGGTCCTGGCTGCATGCTACCTGGTCAATCTTCAGGGGCCTAGTCGGGCCTGTGTCGCTTTGGGTTGGCGGTTGCAGCCAATTATCTCTACTTTGTGTTGAGGAGCGAGTGCCGATCACCTCTCGGGTAAGTCCCTCTTGTTTTTGTCTTTTGGTAAGTAGCTCCGGGGAGCCGAAGGGGTCCCCCCCACTCTAGAAAACCAGCGTTGAATGTAATGAAATGCCATTTTCTGGGTGAGACCCGGAGACTCCCCTGCAACCCCCCCCCTCCCCCCCCCCAGTCGGCGGTGTTTTTCGCGTGTTTTGACATGGATCCTCGGAACTAAGGTGGGGATAGCCGGCGCACGGGGTCTTGGGCTCACCTTTTCCCCTCTCGGGGAGGGGGAAGCAGCGCAGACAAGTGGCATGGCATGTGTGATGTCATGCTCATTTGCTCGTTTTCATTTGGGGAGTTCTGTCCACTCATTTAGCTTTCAGTAGTAGTTTTAACCATAATAGGGGGTTTGTTTTGGGACACTTACCTTTTTGGGTCCCTGACCCGGTCGATGGCAGAAACAGAATGCCCCAAATCACATATGCAATTCTATAGGCCATTGCTCCTCAAGCCTCTCTGAGGGGACCCAGGTTCTGGCTCATGGTCCCCGGTAGGCCTATGAACTCCATTTACACTGATGCCAAAGTCTAATATATCCATATCAGCCTGGATAGCTCTGGGTCTCACCCAGAAAATGGCGTTTAATTACATTCAACATTGGTTTTTCAGTCAAACACTGCAAAATATATAAACTTTTGCAGATATTTAGAAATGCATCAACAGCTTGTTAAATTAAGTAAATTTAATTTCATGATATACAATTTTTGTATCCTTTTGGTTATACATTTATTCAAACAAGGTAAAATTGATGACCAAACTACACATCAGATGAAGAAACGAAGTTTCAGTCCGTCTTGGACCATTATCAAGTCATGTGTTAGGGAGAGACGAAGGAACGGGCCAATAAATAAGGAAAGATTGAGGTGAGGTGCAGGTAAGAGAAGCCAGGAGGCAAGCTATCCTCTTGCCTCCTGGCTTGCCAAAATTCTTAACTTCTTATCTTCGTACTTTTTCTCCTGCCCACCGCCTTCACTCTTAGGACTTATAGATAGACTGCGCCTGCAGCCCTCCTATAAGATGCTTAAATTTGATGTCGACTCTTGTTTACTAATGTTACCCTTGATGTTCTTGCTTTCCTCAGTCAGAAAGCAACCGAGGGTCGCCTTTATCTCCCGCTTCCCACTGACATTTCTTCAAACTCATCAGACACTGTGTTGACTATTAACTCCTCCTCTTTCAATGGAAAATACTTCTCTCAAACTGTGCCGCTATGGGTTTCCCTCTCTCCCCTGTTCTTGCCAATCTCTATATGGAATACTTCGAAACCGTTCTTCTACTGATACCTGTCCCTCTCTCCGGCTTTGCTATGTTGATGACATTTTTGCTCTATGGCATCATGACTATTCTTTTTCCAGCCTTTCCTCTCCTCTTGTAACAACCTGGCTTCTTCTATCAATTCCAAAGTTGAATGGGAATTCAATTCTCTTCTTTCTTTTCTTGACGTTCATGTTCACAGCTCCGTATCCGGCTTCTCTTTCTCTGTCTACTGCAAACCCATGCATAGTTGTATGAACATACATTCACTTCTTTTCCTACCATCTTCCTTCTGTTAAGAAAAGTGTTCTCATCTCTATCTCTCTTCCTCCACGCTCTAAGCATTGATAAACCTCAGTTTCTTTATTCTGGAATTTCCTATATTTACAAATATCTCTCTCTCCTTGGATACCCCTTACATTTTATCAACTGTGCCTATTCTCAAGCTAAATGAAAGTTCTTTCATCCCAAACTTGTTTCCAACACTAGTACCATTGTGCCTTCCCTTCATATCTGAACTAAAAAATCTTACTAATACCCGTCATCCCCTTGATGTAAAGCTCGCCTTTTGACAAACTAACACTTCGTTGTAATCTGGTTTACACTGCTCCTGCTGCTGGTATCTACTGTGTCTGCAGACATAAACAATGCTCTCTTCTGTCTATAGATTGGTCTCTTTCTAAAGTAATCTTTCCTGCCTCAACTCTTCACAGATGCCGTCTTGTTGAATCGGCCCTGATACACAACACACCCAACATGAACCTTAGTCCTGGCTTTGTTGTTTTTGACTCTTCCTTTTCACAGTACATATTTAATTGCTCTAACCTTCTTACCAAACATGGCCTGACTTAAGTCCTATCCCCTTTTATTTTTCTCACCCTCTTATTCTTACCTCACCCTATTTTTCATTCATCCCATTATTACACTTATCCTATTCTTACCTTTCACCTTACTCTTGCCTTCTAAAAATGACCTTCTCCTACCTGATCCTCACCTTACCTCTTTTCTTATTTTGTGTGATTATTCTTGATTGAATCTTACCTCCTAGAAATTACCTTCTCTTACCTGTACCTCACCGCACTTCCTTATTTATTGGCACATTCCTTCGTCTCTCCCAACAAATGACTTGATAATGGTCCAGGATGGACCAAAACATCGTCATTTCTTCATCTGATGTGTGGTTTGGTCACCATATCTTCAGCGACATTATTGTGGATCATATCTGCAAGATAAAATTATAAACACTTTATTGAATCCTTGATACTGGTGATCAAATACCTTTAGAATGTTACCACCCTATAATGTGATTTTTACAGTACAGTACAGTGTACAGCATATGAAAATATGCAGAGTTTTGCAAGCATCAGAGGGATAAAGTGAGAAAGCATGTATGAGGAAATCTGAGCAGAGAATTTATTATCTATAGTGTCCTCGATGAGGACAGGTAACTGGTGGCTTCTCAACGGTCCCTCTTTATTCTTGAGGATTTCTTAAAATTGCACTCTATACTGGAGTACAGGTAACCTATAATAGGTACAAGGTTCTAATTTTCCACCACAAGTTGATTGGTCAGTACTTTGAATACTATTCCCCATGGACACAATACTAAAAATATAAGAGATTTCCAAAACATGAATGTGAAAGCATTAGTATTGGTAGCAATTGTAAGTAGGATATTCACGTCTGGGGCATTTGTACTGTCTCGGCATTTATGGCTTTGGCAAGTAAGTGATTCAAGGGATTTATTACCCTATGTGTGTAAAAGCAGCATCTGTTGTACATCCTGCATTTTTGCTTATTGCCGAGATCAGCCCAGACATGTCTGGTTTGTAGTTCTAATCCTCAAGTCCCTCAACTGTTTCTTGTATGAAAGTTGACCTTTTTCTGGGAGCATTTTCACTGTGCTGAACCTTTCCCAAGGCAGTTACTGTATGTTCTTTTGAAGGGAAGGCTATCCATGCTTGGATACAGTAGTCCAGACAGGGGTGCGCCAGGGAATTGTATAGCTGAATAATCACTTTTCCCCAAAATCCCATGGGGAAAAAAAAGCAACAGGGTGAACATGGAACTACTGAGGACCCACCAGAAAAAGAGCATTTCATTTCAGTGTAGAGCAGTAATTAAATACTACTCTTTATCACTAAATTACTTGGTGTTAAGTGAGACTGTTCCCTTTAGGATCCTTATCGTTTAATTAGACTACCATATGTCCCTCAGTCCGGATTAATTCTTATATGACACTAATTAAAGTTAATCCTAAGTGTATTGGAGATAAGTTTTGTTGAATAACCTTGATTACAGGTATTGAAACATCTCATTTCAATTAAGCATTCTCTTATAAGGGATATTGCAACTCTACATCTGTAATAGATAACTAGCATTAATCGTATCACATTAAATATGATGAATGACCGACTGAACTCCCTGCCTAACATAACTGTGCATATTAGTATGACCAAAGTAGATCATGATTCATGGATATA